AACCGACTGACAGGAATATCAATCAATCAAAGACTGACCAGACAATTCCATGCTATTTGTCAGTACGCCCAGTAGTTAGTAGGGGTAGAAAACGAATTCTCATTTTGCAGCAGCAGTTCATCGGTCAAGAGCGTAGAAACCTGCGGCGAAGTTAGAACAAGGTTGAAGCCAATCATACATGCAGACTTTACGCCACTGTTCATGGCGGCTTTAAACCGCGATAGAAGGACCATAGCAGTCAGCCGTATTTCTTGCAATGAAATTATTATGGAACGTTTCCTTTGTGCCAACGTGAACAACAAGAACACTTTAACGTGACGAGATCAGGAAAAAAGGAAGCGCACATTTCGCTGCTTTTCTTTGTTTCTTTGGAAAGGGGAGGGGGCGTTTCTTTATGACAGTGATAACGATGGTGATTATGGATCACGCTAAGAAAAAAATGCTTTGCTAATTACCTTATGAAAACAGTTCTTCATATCTGTTTACTTATCATCATACATTGGGCTAACTGTCCATGTACAACTGCATCCTTGGCAGTTCCTGCGCAGCAGAAAGCCTATGAACTTGAAAAGAGCATTGAGACCGATCAATTATTTAAGATTGGGGTCCTAAACGGGATTTCTCAAATTTCCTGATGCGAAATGGTCATCGACCGCACCTACTACCAATAAAGCCAAGGTAAGGTCCGTTCAAGATGCTGCCTACCTGCTAAAAAAAGATGCTGATATATTGGATTATGATCAAAATCTGGACAGATAGGTGCTCAACACGAGGATGGCTCAGTGACCTGATTTGCCAGTGGAGTTTTATCGAGTTCATCAGACAGGCAAAGACTTTGGCCCAGCCACACCCTCGATCGCACTTACGATGCACTGCAGGTTCCTGCCCGGTAGCTTGTTCCGGTACTTATTGACGGCGACGATGTACTCTTCGGTGTCATCGGGCGTGATATGGCCGTCCAACGTGGCGACCAGCAGGCAGGCGATCACCAGGCGAAGCGACATCGCGGCAGCTTATGGCACTTTCTGCGGTCCGGCTCCAAGACGGCGACTGTTGGATGCTTCAACAAGGCGTTGTTCGTTCGAGACAAGGCTTTAAATGCTGTCTTCTGGCGTTTTCGCTTCAAACCAGCACACAACCACCATTCTGCAGTCGTCGAGCAACTATGGTGAATCCGCGTGTCCGCATTTGCCGTTCTTGCTTTGTGCGTC